CAAAATTAAAAATAATTAATATTTATTAATATTTTAATAATGTTTCAGAAATATTTAAATATAATACCTAGGTTTATTATATAAGTGGATATATAACCTCTATAGAATACTCCTGTATATTAAACAAATATTTATGATATTTTCGAAATATTATAATAACATTATTTTAATTTTTTTTTAATAATATTCATGTAACATTCTAGGAACATTTTGCGCTTATAGGGTGGCTATGTTCAGTAGACTCAACAGTTGAATGATGCTCCAAACTTCTCGCACGGTTCATCTTTTCTCTTTACCTCTCCAACGTGGAGAGAAAAGGAAGACAGATGAACCGTGCAAGAACTTTGGTTCTAAACGGTTCTAAAAAGAACGGACCTCAGTATTTAAAACCGTGGAAAGATGGAGTTTGCCGGTGAAGCGCGGCAAATAATTGATAGCATAACCTCAATTATTGTTTACTATTTATCACAATGTTGTCTATGCTTGTCAGTTTTAATAATACATTTGCTTTTGATATCATTGAATGCCTTTTGTGTCAAAGACTTTATACGCGTGACAGCGATAATTTTTTGTTACAAATATTTATCATAAATAAATAAACAAATTGAAAGGACCAAAATAAATGAAATCTATTTTGTCAGTGTAAAACGTGACAGAACATGACATGTATATATGTGTACATGGTTTTCATAACTACATCGAAATTAACGATTTGATAACAGAAAATCCAGCCTGACTGGAAATTCATCGAGTAAGCACTTTTTTATTGTCTTGCATTTTTTTATAAGGGATGTTTCAGCTCCTAAAAAAGATTTATATTAAAAAATTCGTGTCTCTTACTTCCATTTACAAAACAACATATCAAAAATTCATCAAAACCAGAGCAGGACACTTCTATGTGTTTCCTTGCGAAAAATATACTAAATTTACTAAATTTTAAAAAATATTTGAATAGTACCAACTAAACATTTATTTACAGTAAATAAATATTTACTCAATAAGAAAGTTATAGTTAAATTAAATTAATAGTTCTCGTACCAAATAAATAAATATACCTTTATATTCAGTAAATATTTAGTTGATCTTATTCAAACAAATATTTTATAAAATTTAATACATTTTTTCGCCTTGTGTATTATTAAAGTTTTAAATTTTTGAATTTTGTTTCAGTCTTTCTTAATTCATTTAATCTTGTGTTAATTAAATTAATTTTCTTATTTTCTTTTTTATTCTCAGCGATATTATACATATATGTACCATATGCTGAATAAGATTAAGATAGATTTTTACAAAGATGTTATAAAATTAAAAGAAATTTATATGCTGACAAGATCAAAAAGAAGACGATGGAAGATAATAATATAGAGCAGGGATTTAAAAGAGGATTGGAAGCAGATAAGATCGTTGGTTCAGCAGATGAAATGGAAAACTGATGTACTTGATACAATGGTAGATAATAAGTCCTATACTTACGTTATTATGATTAATATTATGTGAATTATATCCCAGGTAAAACATAAAATAATACAATGAAGATGACAGAAAGTTGAAATCATTTTAGGAAAAATTATAATGATGCTTTCAATACACTTTTTGATGATTTAATGATCAATTCTTGACATGACAATAATTTTTAAATCATTTTTTTTTAGTTAAAAAGCACAAGATCCTAATAAGATCAAAATAACATTAAGTTCAACTCATTTTGAAACAAAATCATAATAATGTATTTTGACAATGATTTTTAAGTAATTTTTTAACTAAATCACTTGAAAATTGTTATTATGTCAAGAATTCATCACATAATCATCATAAAAAGTATATCGAATGATATCATTGATTTTTTTTTAATGACTTCTACTTGATGTCATCTCGATCTTATTATTTTATATTGTACTTGAATTTCTCGATGATCGACTTGGTAAAACGTCCGGACACAATGAGAGAAATCCAAATTTGAATCCCAGCTAAAGTGATATTTTTTGCAATAAATATTTTACAGTGTTAAAAGATGCTCATTGGCTTCAGTAATATTAAATTGCTTGTGGTATTATGTAGTTCAGCCAATCTAGGATTGTGTGTCAAGACTGATAAATAATCAGCTTGTAACTTACTTTAATTGGAAATTGTAAAACTTCACATAATTGTGTATTTAGGCATCAAATATCATCTTGATCGAATGAGATTTTCTTCACTCATTTGTGTTGATATATTTATTTCTAACATTTAATGTACATTCGAAAATACTGAAAAAGAATTTAAACTAATGAGAGTAATTTAAAAACAATTGAAGCTGATTGACGAATAAGAATAATTTTGTGCAGGAAAGGAACAGATGCAGTCGACATGGTATCTGCCAATGAAGCCAATACTAAATGTCCTCAGATTGTTATCCGATTTTATGAAGACAGAATGATCTGGAATAAGACAAAAATAAAAGCATGAATAAATACATGAATTTTCTTGAAATGGAAGGCTGGATCTCTATATATTTCAAGAAGATTAACTTTTATTGTGATCTCTTGATGCGGTTCAAATCTTATTACAAATGCTTTAAAGCACTTTACTAATTAGCTAATCAAATAATCCTTCATTGCATTTGTAGTATCACTACAAATGCAATGAAGTTGACCGTTTTCTATGTAATGTATTATAAATATTCTCGAATTGTGACTCTTATTGAAATGAATGTATATCTTTTTGTAATATTGTTCATTTAATTTCCTTCAATCTCTACACTCGACTCTTAACTTTAATAAAATATCTTTTTATAAACTGTTTATCTGTTCTTTATTTTTACTTGCAATAGATATTTTCCATTTGATTTTCTTATCCACAATTTCTAAGTAGAAAAAAAATTAATGTCACAAAGGTTTGTCTAATTATCCTAAATATGTGAGTTTCCAAAATTTTTCAAAAAGAATATAATATACGAAATAACAAAAATGGAGTTGAATCTTTGTGCATATCTTAAGTGCAAAAAAATAATAAAATATACAATTGAAAAGAGCAGACTTGTTTCAGTATTTATGAATCCACATTCTATCATCATTTTATTACATTAGGCTGGCCACACACGTTCAAGTAAACTTTAAACTTGTCAAGTATGCATGCGCAAATTGTTTATACAAATTTATTGGAGCGTATATGAGACAAAAATTTTGATCAAGACAAGATCTATCTGTGTCACTTTTAGATCTTATTCGTGATTCGTCACAATATTTCAATTCAATAGGTATTTAACTTCATTTAATAAAAGAGCCAGTTAGAATTTGTATTAATGTAGCATTATACACATTTTAAGAGTTTATAAATATATATATATATTAAATTATATATATATATAACATATATAATTTATTTAATATATATAATAATATATACAATTTAATATAAAATATTATATAAATATATGCACATAAAATTTGTTAAAAAAATAAAAAAATACATATCAGATTGTTTGAAAAGTTCAATTAAAATTTTGCGCGCTCTGCTTTGCCATGAGGCCTGTTCTTTTTGGCTGAACTTTTGCACCAGTTCATCTTTCTTCCTCTTTTCTTCTCCTGGAGAGAAAAGGAAGAAAGATGAAGTGATG